AACACTTTTCTTTTTCCCTTGGCCAGTATAACAGAGTCCTGGTACAATCCACTAGCTGTCTGTCAACAAAATAGGAAGAATTTTGCAGGGCTTACCAAGACAACAGATATGACTAGTTGCATAGTGAACAAAAAAAAAGAGGTAATTAGGCAGCAAACACCTTAGGAATTCTTTTCCAGGCTATGCTTTTTCCTCTCATGAATTAGCATGATCCCTCTTGCTGTTACTGTTTTGTATCAGAAATAAGAGTTATGGTCATAAAAGTGGCATATTCAGTTAAGAACTAGCAAGAGAGCATAACCTGTCAGCTCCACAAGGTCCCTAGTGACTCCATTTTGCTGAGAGCCATGTAATGATGCTGGGGATGGCACAATGATAAAATGAAATGCCTTAAGTTTTCCTTGTCTTTCTCAGATCTTTTGAGGAAAGAAAGTAATTGCAGTTGCTAAAACCTCCTGTCAGGCTAGATTGGTTCAGGCCTTACTCTTGAGTTCTCCTGAGGCTAACAGAGGACAGAGACCTTGGTATACCCCCTGTGGTCATGTGTAAGACCAAGAGCTAAATGGCACCATGAACAAAAGAAAGCAGTCATTTAACTCTAGCAGGTCGGTATTTGCACAGCTGCATCATATTTTGAACAGAAAAAAAGTAGAAAATGTAAGATAGGTTGTATTTACAGCTGAGAAAGGAGGTAAAGACAACTAAATTTCCCTTCTTATTGTATCTCTGATGCCTGTGGTGCAAGTCTGTCACACTTCAACAGCCTGCTAAAGCTGGGCTGAATTCAAGAGTGTGTGGTAGAAGGGGAGGGAGGACCAGCACAAAGCTGCTAACGTCCCTGGTTAAACTGGTGTCACTTTTCCTCTTGAATGAACATTGAAGAACATGTCCTGTAGTGGAGAATAAGCATCACATGCAATTCTTAAGGCTCTTTTATCAAAATAAAATCCCAAGGACTGTGGTTTACGTGGTTTTATTGCCAGTGCTCCTTCTGCTGGAGACTGATTGCTTAGTCACAGAAATAATACTCTATTTCAAAACAGAGTCATGAAATGAAAGTATTACGCTGCAGCACAGCACTTTCAATAAGGAGCAATGAGTGTCACTTGCATACATCTGAGTCAAGGACACACAGTGACTTTAAATTAATCTTTGGCAAAACTGTGAGGAAAGCAGGATCAATCTACTTTCATCCATGAAGTTTAAGGACTGTGACCAATACTTCATGGTGCTTTGTAGCACCTGGTCCTATGAGGTCTGGATCATCCAGGCCTGAGTTCTTCAATTTATATTTATACCTGTTAAGTACATTGCTACTAACAACCAAGAAATACTCTTACATTAGCCTTTTATACTGCATGTGAGCTGTAGTGGAATTTGCAACATTAAACTATATAGAAATGATATTTCTACAAGTAAATGTAAGGTGAAAAATGCTTGCTCACAGCTGTTTACTGTGCTTATTAATCAATTCATTGATTTGAAGACCATAACGGACTATTAGAACAAAAGGACTAGTGATGTAATTTACAGAGTGGGGAAGAAAAGGCTGAAACTGAAACAGGTTACCCAAAGAAGTGGTAAATGTCCCATCCCTGGCAGTGTTCAAGGCCAGGCTGGACGAAGTCTTAGGCAACATGGTCTACCGTGAGGCATCCTGGCCCATGGCAGGGGAGCTGGAACTAGATGATCTTAAGGTCTTTTCCAACCCTAACTATTCTATAGCGTACACTTCTATAAAACATATACCTGAACAGCTCAGCCTGGGATACCAATAATATTGGATGAAACAAGAAGTTTAATGTAGTATTTTGCATAGAATCATAGAATAGAATCATAGAATAGTTAGGGTTGGAAAGGACCTTAACATCATCTAGTTCCAACCCCCCTGCCATGGGCAGGGACACCTAAATCATATCACCCAAGGCCTCATCCAACCTGGTCTTGAACACTGCCAGGGATGGAGCATTCACAACCTCCCTGGGCAACCCATTCCAGTGCCTCACCACCCTAACAGGAAAGAATTTCCTCCTTAGATCCAATCTAAACTTCCCCTGTTTAAGTTTTAACCCATTACCCCTTGTCCTATCACTACAGTCTCTAATGAAGAGTTCCTCTCCAGCATCCCTATAGGCCCCCTTCAGATACTGGAAGGCTGCTGTGAGGTCTCCATGCAGCCTTCTCTTCTCCAGAGATAAAAAGTATTGGTTTCATTTTTCCACCTTTAGTCAATGACAAAGAAGAGATAAAAAGGACCTCAAATCTGATTTTTCATCCTTTGTGCTGACATAAAATATCTTGGTTTTCTGAGTCTTGGCAGTGGAAAGACCAGTAGATTTAGAAGTTTATAGTGTTTCTGAGAAATATACTCCCAAAATAAACAAGCAAAAAGCCAAAAAACCTAACATACCTATGCTTTAATAAGGTCCTGGGGGAATAAAAGGTAACATGGAAGAGATGGAAAAGTTTTTTTCCTCAGGAAATGCTTCGTGCATCCTGAGCTGACACAGAACATTTTGACATTTCTTGGCAAAAATCTCACTACAAATTTGGTCTGATGAAACTCAGGAAGTATGATACATACGAGGCCACTCAGACCTACCAGCCCTAATGCTTTTCTTCATGGTTTCCATCACTGTAGATATTTAGGAGGCATCTTTCAGGATTAGTTTGTTAAGAGCTGATCCTGCCTGGGTGGATGATGTTTTATCTGGGACCAGCAAGAGATGGGATGGCTGCTCCATAAGGCTGGGTGGTTTGGAAGATTGAGTGACCTCACTCCTCAGCAGGGGGATATTTCCTGCAGGAGCTGCAGCCCTGCAAAGCCCTGGTGGGAGTGGGGGTCCCTGAAGGGTGCAGCGGGAAAGGGCCAGCGCTGGAGCAGGGGGACGAATGAGGAGGGAGCATCAGCCAAGAGGGCCTATGCCGGGCTGAGTGCAACCCCATCTGCACCCCTGCACCTTGGGGAGAGGGGTCGGGAGCAGAGCAGTGAAGGTGGGAATGGAAAGAAGGGGATCCAGGGAAGGCAGTTTGTTAATGCTTGTCTGGAATTATTTAATTTGCAGTAAATAAAAATAGTTTCATTTCAAATGGATAGAATAATTGCTATTTGCAAGGAGGACACAACAAATAGAAATATTTTTCCTGACACCTATGCCTACTCCTAGCTTTTTCCAATAGTATTTAATACTTTATAATCTTTCTTTTAAAAAGAGACTGAGTGGCTATTGATCTGTTTAGAAGAGTTTATCACAAGATGCTTTACTCACAATATTTATATATCAACATACTTTCAGCTTTTTCATGGGATTTATCTTAGGAAGAAAATAACTAGTACTGGCTATTCCTTCAAGTCACCCCGTGTTTCACTACTAAGGGGACCAAGAAGCTGTGGCTCTCTCCATGTGCTCAGCAGACCAGGATAAACTTCTGGAGCTTCAGAGAGCTTCTGCTAATTCACTACCCATAGCTAGTTTCACCTGAGTCAGTTTCTCATCCCATGTCATTGTGTTCCAGACTCGGACAGACTCACGAATGGACTCATGGTTTCTTTATTCACCATAATATCAAGCAAGTGATTCCTTGTAATAGGGGTCAGAAAGTATTTCCTAATGTCGAGCTCTCTTGCAACTTAAATTCAAGAGGTCTGGTTTATGATTCACCTTTACAAACTTTTAATTCCTTTCTCCCTTTCTAATACCACAGCCTTCCTTTCATCCACTAAGCGGGTCACCTTGTCATAGAAAGAGATCAGGTTAGTCAAACAGGACCTGCCTTTTACAAACCCATTCTGGCTGGTCCTGATCACATAGGTGACCTGTACATGTGGCATGATGGCACTCAGGATATTCCCTCAAGATGAGCTGTTCACCTACACCATGATCTTGTGTGCAACCTTAAGTCATTTGCAGCACACTGTGTTCATTTCATGTTGTGTATTTTGAAAAGCTATATTTAGCTATTTCCTAGTTTTCGTGTTCTTCTCCAGAAAGTAACAGAGATGTCTCATGTGAATCTTCATTAGTCCTTTGATGAACTGCAATCATCCTGCTCATCAGCCTAGTATCAGCTGCTCATCAGTTAAACTGCTGAGTTTTGCTGGTGCTGACATTAGCATCCTCAGTTCTTTCAAAATCAACAGTTGCCCTGTAAGTTATTCCCAAAGAAATGTATATTAAAGTTAGGCATACAGTGTAAATGTGACTTATTCTGCAACTGATTGGAATGGGTACCCCAAGGGAGCCATTTGATGTAAGATGAATGCTAATTTTGAAAAAGAGCCACCCTTCAGAGTCTGTGGAATATAGATGGAGCTTAGGTGATTAGCTTAAATTTGACTTTTAGATGGCTTAAGTTAGGTAATATAAATCCCATTCTGCATGCCAGGAGTTTATTGGTATTTAATCAACAGATCTTATTGTATTCAGCTTTCTATTTGTAAATAGAAACTGTAATCTAGTTAATGAAAATAAGCTGAGGCAAGAAAAGGAAATATTACGGTTGTACTGCTACCTACAATGAAATCAATGGAAATTTGCACTAACTTCTCTCTATATAAGACTTTGCCTTTAGTTCCAGCTCCTGAAACAGAGGTATTGATTGCACATACAAGGACTGGACCTTTCTTATAGGCATCTCTAAATACTGTGTTATTGAGATATTCAAAAGCTTCTAAGGATTGGGAATTTGCCTGTTATCCTAACTCAGCAGTTAAATAATGAAGAAAGAAAGAGTTTTCTTACTTTGAGACACCTGGTAAAACACAACTGTTAGATACTATAATAAGAAGGCAATATGCAAAAACCAACAAACTATATCTAACTACCAATAACAAAAAGAAATACAAATTAAAAAAGCACCAAAATCAAACCATTGACAGCTCATAGCAAATTCTTATCCACCATACTTTTTGTTTGATCATTTTGTTCATTACATTACATGAAGTTTACAGCCCATTAAGATAAGCTGTGTCCATTGACCACTTTTCTCTCTGTAAATAAGTGATCAAAAGTTACTTTAGCTGGAAAACTAAATTAGTAGAAGTTAAGATTATTGAATAATATTGAAGAAGAATCTGCAACAGTAATTAAGGAGAATGATCCAACCTGTGGAACATCCATCTTGTCTACTTGGAATGTTAATCAACACATTTAAACATAAACAGTGGCCTAGGCGCAGTTTGAGCTTCCTAGGGGAATCTGGATTTTCTGAAATTCCCATTTTTAGAGCTCCTGAAAAACGTACTTCATTGTGAAGAGGATTAGGAGGTCAGACAACCACCTTGTCTCAGGTCAGTTTATTGTCTTAAGCCAGCTCATACTGAGAAGACAATAAGGAGATGACAAGGAAGAAAAGCTTCGGAGTTCCTGGGCCAGGGATTAATGATGTAAGTGTACTAGATGTACACACAAGATGACCCATAATTATAACTAGAAAGTAAACTTATAAACTTTATATTTATTAAATTCCATAGCTCTTGCCTCATGGATGTTTTTGTGTTTTTTTATTTGAAGACCAGAAGAATGGGACTGCAAATAGCTGTTTTTACTTTACTGGTAGTCCATAGTCTCTATTAAGATATAATTTCTTGCTCAAAGTTAGAAGAAAAAATACATTTGAATTAGTATCTTTTCAAGCTTAAAAGAAAGACTTGCTGAAATGAGTTCAAAAATTTATTTGCAAACTGATCAGTTGGGAAGGTGACTCTAGTTTTAATTCACTAATAACTAAAAAAGTTCAAAAAAGTAAAATATGGACTGTCATTTCTCTCCTTTTTAATTAACTTTCTGGAAACCCTCTAACAAATTATTTAATTTCTTTTATTCTACCTTGGCCTCTTACTAGCAGTGTAGGCTCTACACGATATGCTTTTAGTGCCCAACTGAATATTAACAGTGTTCATACTCACTTTCTACGGCTGGAACTAGCTATAGTATATTATCAGTCATTAAACATTCTAAGCTATGGTATCAGCTTTCAAGCATAGTGGACTCTGTTTAAGACCAGCTTAAACAAGCTACTTTAATTAGCGAAGCATAGAATGCATGAAAGACATATAATAAACAGAATTTAGAGTTTACATGTAATGTGAAGCAAGACTTGTTTTGTTGAGGCCAGCAGGGCTAAATGAGTAGCAGATTAAAATTGTACCCAAAAGAAGAGGGATCATCTACCAAACAGTGAAAACAGGTATTTAAATCCTTACCTGAAAATTAAGAATAAGAACAAGTGGCCATGCTCCAACATGGGGTCCCTTTCACAGGAGAGTCCTCCATGAGCTCCTCCAATGTGAGTCCTTCCCATGGCTGCAGTTCTTCATGAATTGCTCCAGGATTCCCACAGGATCAGTCCTTCAGGAACAGACTGCTCCAGGATGGGGTCCTCCATGTGCTGAGGAAGGATACCTTGCCTCACCATGGTCTTCTCCATGGTCTGCAGGGGAATCTCTGCTCCAGTGCCTGGAGCATCTCCTTCTGCACTAACCTTGGTGATTCCAAAGTAGTTTTCTCACATATTATCACTCCCCTCTCTGCTGTGTAGGGTTTTCACCCCCTTCTTATATATGTTATCCAGAGGTACTAACACCTTTGCTAATAGGCTCATCCTTGGTCAGTGCAGTGTCCATCCTGGATCCAGTTGGGATTGGCTCTACCTGATATGGGGGAAGCTTCTGGCATCTTCTCAAAGAAGCCCCTACATTTCCAAAGCCTTGTTACGCAAACCCAACCCAGCATGTTTCATTCAAAATGCTTTTTTGGGTGAGTTGAATTTTCTTCTTTAGACACATACATTCTTATACACACTGCCGAATAAGGTTGATCTGCTTACTATAAGACCATGCTAGATCATGCGAACCATACCAGAATGAATAAATTAATGTTTTACAATGTGCTAATTGCTAATAACTTGATTGAATGCCCACAGGATATAGGCTCAAATACATTTGCATTGGAAATGGTACAACATCAGATTGAAGAAGAATAAAGAAATATCTTTTCCAGAATAAGAGCAGACCTTTAGTGTAGTGTTTTTTTGTGGTTTTTTTTTATCCCTCTGACATTTATAGATGAAAGAGTAAAACACAGATTAATGCAGTTGCTGTTTTTTTCCAGGTGATAGGCCTTTTCCAAAACCAACTGACTGCTGTGATCAAGATGTTTTGCTCAAAATATCTGTGACTTATTTGGTGAAATGTCAGAACAATAAAGCATTTGTCCTCTGGCAGCTGGCCTGATATGATAAAAAAACCTTAGAAAACCTAAAGCTTTTCAGCTGTAGCCAAACTACCCCACCTTGAAGAGCTTGTGTCAGGAATCCGACAATTACTGGCTTTCAGCTGGAAACCTGTTCTCTAGAATCACTAATTTGAACTGATATTGCTAGAGCTACAAGGATCCTCAACACAAGGCAAAACGATTGCAGACAACACAAAACTGGGAGGAATATTCACCAGATAGTTCTGTTACATTCAGAAGGACCTTGTCAGGATGGAGAAATGGGCTGACAGAACCCTTGTGAAGTTGTACAAAGAGGAAAGCCAAGTCCTGAACCAAAGGAGGAATGACCCCACGAGCCAGTCCAGGCTGAGAACCAGGTCTGCAGAGAAGGAGCTGGTGGTCCTGGTGGACACCAAGTTCTACATGTGCCAGAAATACACCCTTTCAGCAAAGAAAGTAAACAACCTCTCTGTGTGCACAAGAAGACAGAGTGTTGACAGAAGGTCAAACCACCTAAGCTGGTTTTGTAGCACCATGAATGGACTTCAGTGCATACTTTTATATATATATTATTATATATATATTATACTTAATTTATATCATACTTATCTCTGCACCCTCAGTCTATACAAAACAACTGTCACCAGAAAGAAATAAATGAACAATTTATCTAAGCAGGTTTAGATGCACATCTTCGAGCAATTTTACTGAGTAGTACTTACCTATTTCCATTACTATGTCAAGTGAAGACACACACACTTGCTCAAATGATTCCTATGTCTAGAGAATTTATTCAATAAGAAAGTGTGTTAGCTTGGATATAGAACTGCACAATTGCAATTAATATGCTGTCACAAGCTAATCATGTGGTGCTGCACTGAGCTTTATAGGCATACTAGATTAGGCTGATCTAATTCATAATCTCTCAAGTCTATGCATTGTTACACAAATATTTAGTTTCCCAATGGTGAATCACCAAATTAGTTGCAAATTGACATTTTGAGGTTTCTTTATTTCCTGTGGATATTTCCCTTTTAAATAAACATGCCAGGATTCACTGAGAAGTCATTTTGGAGGAAAAAAGACAGGAATCTAAAGGCATAATTTGTTCACCTTGTATCAGCAGCTGTGTTTGTACAAGATCCAAATTCCCAGGTCCTTGGCTTTCCTTTGTTGATGCTTTGGTTTCCAATGGACATAACCTCAACACAAGACAGGAGAAGGCCATTAACTTATTTGGATAAGCAAACCACACATAGATCAAAGGGGTGACAAAAAAAAATAGCACCTTGAAATGCCAGATCACTTTGCAAACTGCCTCGTGTGGATTTGCGGATTTCACTATTTTTTTAATATCAATTTAAAGTTATTTGATGTTGCATGGATCTCAAGGTCAGTGACTTCATCACATGTTATTCACTTTAGTTAACCTAGTGTTCCTTTTAAAAAGGCTGCATTCTGCTTTTGCCATCTCTATGCTCCACTGTTTGTATCACCTGAACTCTGTAAGAGGGAAGTGAGATGAGTCCAGAATACTTAATAGGTTAAAGTCTCTGTTTGTGAGTCCATTAAGAGTTTATAGTTTTTAAACAGACTTTACTGGCCATTAAAATTCTGATGCCTTTGCCTGACAAAGATTGTAATGAGAATAGAAAATGGCATTAAATGGAATCCATTCTGAAGATGATTGTAAAAGATACAAGCCTAACTCATTCTCATTATAGCTTTCTGTTGGTATAATTGTGAGTGTTACTCGGATACCTGAAATACTTGGAGAGAATTTTACTGTGACTGTAAAAAGGAGTTACTTATTTTGATTTAAAATTGAAACTGTAGTTGCCTACTTCTGCTATAATGCAAATGGCACAGGAGCAGCTGACACTGATTTTGTGTAGGCCTGAAGGAATATTTTTCTCTAGCTTAAGCCCAGCTACTACTGACATTAAAGACATTGATATATGGTTTTAAGACTTAATTTGCTGATCATCCACAAGGCCATGTCAGCTGCTCCCATCTTGTACTTTAGGGTTAAACCAGACTGGAGAAAATCCTACAATTTAGATTACATTGAAACATTTTTTTCTTTGTGTGGATGATCTTGAGGACATTGCCTTGGTATTCACTTCCAGGTGGGACTGTTTGGGCTACTGGTGATGAGAAATGAATTGCATGCTGAGGGCAAACAAGATATCTAAATGGCATGGAAATTGTTCAGTGCCTAATAAAGCTCTAATTTCTGTGCCTCCTTTATAAGGCTACAAGTTTTAAATGCAGATGCACCTATTTAAATGTATTTATCATACTAAGGTATCTCTAGGGCTTCCTTTGATAACTCTACTTAGACTTCTTTTGGACTGAGGTATGTATCTGGCCTTCATGAGTGATGATGGGAGCATATCTCGGACCCATAGAAGGTCATAAGCATGGAGAAATTTAAGCAATCTGCAGAGTGAATCATTTGAACTCCAGCTTCACTCATTACAGTCTTTCTGATATTTTTTCCCCCAGAAAAACAAGGAAGAGAAGGAAAATACATTAAAATTCCTCAAATTCTCTAAAGCAAAGCCCTGAATAGAGTGCACTCTAGAATTGACCACACTGGGCAGTATCTTCAAAGCTAAAGTGTTTGTTTTTTTCTATTTGTAAAGATAAAATATGAGCTCTCAAATCAACTGTTACTTGGTGTTGATCACACAGCTCAAGGCTGACAATGGACACCACAGGTGCTAAGAAGACCTGTTTTCATACAGGTCCAGATTGCTGTTAATGTTGCATAAGAATAAGAACTAACCGTTTCAAATCATCTGTATTAGTTTCTTATACCCCAGTATGTTACTGATGAATGCTAGTATCAGCGTTTTCTCAGTGGCTATGTACCAAACTTGCTGCAAGAACAAATGAATCCCATGAAAATTCTTGTAAGACAGCTAGAGACACCGGTTAGCAAGTGGCAATATAGCATCCTCGGAAAGAAAATGTCATGAAAATATTACAAGTGGCAGGAAAATGTTGAAGTATCAAAGCTGACAGTCAACTGAGAAGACAAAAACAAAAAGCTTTCACTTGTAGCCTCACGTTTGTCACATGTCCTTATCAAAGTATAAAACTTAATGAACCAAAGTCATACAAGGTAGGATACCTACAGATTTTGATAGTACTCCCTTGTCACAGTCTTGATAAGTTCCATAATATCAAACCAGATGGTTAGGGACAAAAAGAAAAAAAAGAAAAAGAAGATGTTGTCAAATGCAGAATTTTTGCTTCTTTAACAAGGAAAATGACTTCTTATGAAGAACAGTTACAGTGAAGTTTAATAATAGACACAGAATCTTCCCACTGGGTCGCAGAAGTCAAAGGAGACATGGATGTCACAGTGGATGAATAGTCTGACACTCTATAATGGTGTATGTGTATGTACGTATAATATATACATATACTGTTGAATGCAAAAAGAAAGCCTTGACATACAGAATGTGAAGAATAAAAAAGGTTTTTACAGCCTGTCACAGTAATCTGATGCCCATATTGTTTTTGAATAGATTAAAAATCGATATTTCATACACATAGAATTGGTACCGAATCTAAGGGAAAGATTGCTCAGCCAAGAAACCATTGATCTATTTTGTGCAATGCATACTCTTTATGGAACTCTGTGTATGCATTTGCATGTGCATATGTATCTTTGTGTGTAAACACACATTTGTGTTTATTGCTTCTTAAGAAATCAATATAATGCCATGTTTTTGCTTAAACTTCCATTCTGTAGTATGGATTCTTAGAAAGGGAGATTCATGGCCTGCTAATGTACTGCAAATTATCTTATGAGATTCTTAGCAGCGGTCAATATGTTTACTGTTTTAGAGAATAAAGCATTACCCTTGAGAGATACGGCTCATATCCTAAAGAACAAAGAAATGTTTAGTGAAAAGGAAGCAGGGAATACAAATAGAGCATACAATGAACGTAATTTTAAACGGTGAGGCCACATTCTTCAGCACTTTCTCACAGCAGGGTTTTTTTTTACATAGTAGAACTGCTTGTTATTTATATCATGTAAAGAATATGAGAATCTCTGCTGCTGTTTAAATATGCTTCATTGGAAAACAATAAAAACGATTCTGAAAGCATGCATTTTTGAACAGCATAAGCAGTTCAACTGCACGAGTAAGATATCTGTATTGATCCAAACAAAGTCACTTTAGACTTACTGGGGACAAACAGAAATAGAGAAAAGCAATTCTTTCTCTTCTTGTCTAAGTTCACTGAATTTTTGCTACTTCTGTCACCTTTTTATTCTCTGTAATATCTAGGCAAAGTGAGTGCAATTAAATGTAAAAAGACTATTTTTAAAGACTACTATATATGTTTTATCA